TTGAGTCCGCCGTCGTCCACCGAGCGTGCTGGCTCCTCACCATCGGGTCCAATGTAAACAGCTTTTACAGAGGCAGGATATGGAAGTAAACGGGCTCTTTGGCACATCCTCACAACCATGGGTGAATTTCAAGTCCAGACCAGACTCCACAGCCAGACAGGCTCACACACGAGTCCCTTTTAACTCTCGTTCAAGCAGCTTCGCTTGAATCTTTTCCTTAAACAACAAAAAGGACACGTTTGTAGTGAGTGTACAAAAATGTACAAACTAACCCAGGCGCACACTGATGACCCGACGCTCGTTATACTTCAGCTTTAAAAAGAATCGAAGCCCGCCCCCACATTCAGACGCTAAAAAATAAATTAACTAATAATGGGTTAGACTGAAAAAAAGGCGAGAACATGGCAAGACTGATTGGACAAACTGAGACGAGCCTGAAAAGCTTCAGTCGCACTAAGAGAGGCACAAGCATCAGTAGAGTTGAAGGTGTGGACTTTGATACGTGTGTACCTTAAAGAAAAGTATTCACACCCCTTGAAACCCCCTTTTTCTCCCCTATTTTTACTTTTTTTATTTGTATAACTTTAATGAAGTTAATTTAAATAGCAGAGCCGGAGTTACATACAGGGATGAATTATTTTAGATAATATTTGAATTTTCACTATTGTTGCAGGAAAAAAACATGTTTTGAGAGTTACTTTGCTGCTTTTTAACCTTCATTCTCTTCAAAAATAAAAATGTTTTTCGCCCTGCAGACCAATAGAAATACATCTTCACTTCTCACTGTAGAAAAAAGCCAAAAGTGAAGAGAATGTGATCTTTAAAACACAATTTTAAAAGAATGCAGTTTATAAAACTTAATCGGAAAAAGAAGCAATTGAAAATAAAAATTTGGAAATATAAAAAAAAAACAAAAAAAAAACAGTTTTTTTAATTAAAATTTGAAAAAAAATATAGTATTTGAAAACAAATCTAATAAAAAAGCAAAGCTCCTCTCAAAAGCTTTTTTTTTTATTTAAAACGTTTTTCAAATTTTCATGCCAGGATTGAATCTTTTTTTTTCATTTTCCATTTACAAATTTCCACCACTAGTCAAGTAGAGATAGCTCCTATAATCGGGACAAAAATAGACACATAATAAATAAAAAATAAACACATCGAAATGCAGGAATTAGCCTCTTGGCCAGGACTACCTTGAAAAAGAGGTTTTTAATATCAATGGGATTTTTTCCTGGTTAAACAAAGGTTAATTATTCATACATTATATTTATCCATACATTTATGGAAGTAGTTATATTCATGTTTAAACAAATCTATTTTAAAAACGTTTTATTTAATCAAACCCTTTTTTATGTGAATAAGATGTTAATTATTGTGCACTTCAGAATTTTTATGGTAAATTTATTATCTGCATCATGTTTTAGATAAATGAATTAATAAATAAATGTTACGTCTTCTTATTTACTCGTATTAATCTATTTAAAGGGACTTGACATGATAAATTTGCTCTCTATATACGCCTCAGGAATTACGTCCTATTTAGGAACCCCTGATTTAAATCATTCAATAACGGTAAAATGCATTAAAATGACAAATGATCAGGAACAAATAAAGTTCAAGGGGTGTGTATACTTTTGTTTTGGACCGCATGTTTGTGGATTAATGTTTAAATGAGGTCATAGCAGGTGCTACATTCAAGCTGAATGTACGTTTACATCAGGGGACCGTATCACGCCTACAGACACATAAAAAAAAAGGTGAAGTGGAGCGATTTCTCCTCACGTGTGCTTCTATCTCCTGTTTTAATATTACACCTTAACGGGTGCTAATTGTGTTTCGTTAAGTGCAGTCGGGTGAAAGTGTCAAATAAAAAAAACGAAATTAAAAAAAGTGCCTTTTTATAAACACTAGGTGTCAGCTAACATTTATAGTCTCAACTGTGAGACAAGCAGGATTAGAATCTCAGTCAGGAACTTTAAAAGGGGTGGGGCAGTTAAAAAGTAACAAAGGGTTAATAACAGCCTCTTACCCTCCCAGTGAATGGGGGAAGTACAGTAACGCCTGAACATTCAGTATAAACAAGGCAAACACAAAGTAGTATTTCGGACAGTTACCATCATCACCCATCCCCAATCCGCAGAGGAGCCCGGAGAGTTTTGTTCCCATGGCAACTGGACTTGGGGACACTAGAGATGCTTCAAAGGTGCTCTTCTGATAAAGGGAAGTTCCTCCCTAAAAGTTTGCTGAAGGTTAAAAGGAAGGAAAGCAATGGACGAACAAAGGTGGACCTGTAGCGACATGGGAGGAGCTGGAGCTCACACCGTCTGCGTGGGGAGAGGAAAGGGAGTGGGGATTATGGCGCGCTGCTCCTCTGAGACCTGGGTGATCTCTTTGGCAGTTATGGCAGGGGCGAACTCTGCCACGGGCGTTGGGGAGCGGCTGTTGGAGGCGGTGGAGCGGGTCGGGGTGGAGGCGGTTCTTGAACCGGGGTCCGAGGCCTGGACCGGGGTGGGGTTGTGGGGGTTGGTGGCGGCTGCTTTTAGAGCGCCAGGCTTATTGTAGTTCATCTTGAAGATGTGCTGCTGGAGGTGTCTGATCCAGTCCTCCTGCACCGACAGCGGGCCGTGGAACTCCACCTCGCAGAACCTGGAAAAACAGAGAAATGCACAAAAGGGTGACAAAAGGAAAGGAAAACTGCAGCTTTCAGTCAGGCTGCTGAATCATTCAGAGCATTTTTAGAGCAGCTGCATCAGAACTTAAAGTCGTAGGGAAGCGGCTGCTCCAACCGTTGCATTTCTGAATTCTCCCGAGTGGTGCCCGACTTTACACGAGTGAATAAAATGAGTGTGATTGGTTGTTTATCAAGAGGGCGGGACTGCTGTGATGGAAGGCTCACAAGCATGTTTGATTGTGGCCGGTTTGTTGGAAGCATCTTGCTAACCAGTTAGCAACTTAGTGCTAGTAGGTTCCCAATGGGAAACTCCATTGGCACCAAGTAGCACTAAATTGGTGACTTAGAAACAACACTGTCAAGGAACGCTATGGACAGAGGAAACATGCAAGAGGAGGAGAGTTTAGTGTCGGAGGTCGTGGATGAGTCTCCTCCGTCATACATTTTTTATTTAGAGGAGGAAAGTGGGGACAAAGATGTTGTGGGAGAAGACACCAGGGCAGCAGAAGCTTGATTTGGTGTAGAAGGCTTACAGCCGTACATGTTTGAGCCCTTGCCTCGCAACGCTGCCAGTTCTGTTAGCTCTACGCCTGCTGAAGACACAGACGTCCATCCCTATGAACACTGGGACGGTACTCAATGGGAAAGGAAAATATTCTTATTTCAACCGTTGCGGATATTAGCAGCGATACTAAGATCCTATGACCAAAAAAAAAATAGATTGACAGATGACCATTGATATATGATTGGCCGAATTTAGATGTACAAGCTGACGTATAACTAACGGGCCTAACACAGATTTTAAGACAGGATTTTTTTTGATTGAAATTTTCTAAATTTTGGGACAATATAGTTCTATACATGTTAAGCCAGAATGATTTGACATTTAAATATGACTTCCCTACGACTTTAAACCCTTTTTGTGTCTGAGGATCCTAAAAGGTTTCCAATTCTCCTCAAACTGCAGCTGAAAACTGAAGAGGAGGAAGTAACGTCGCTAATAACGCTAAACTCTCATCCACACACGTCTAACAGATTCGGCCTTCAGGTTTTCCTTACCGGCACTTCAGGGTGTAGAACTTGCCCACCAGTTTGACCAGTGGGTAGGAAGGGGGTTTGGGCACCAGTGAGGGGACGGTGCCTGTGCGTGGCGGCTTTGGAGAGCCAGTGTCTCGCTCTGATCCGTCTGGGCAGGTTGGGTGCTTCATGGGACGACGCTCGAAACCTTGGAGGAAGAAAACCGAGCAGGTTTTCAGAATGAGCTCCTGAAGCAACTAAAAACTAGGAACACATTTCTGTTCTACAGGGTCTGTGGGTGGATGGAGTGTTAAGCTGATCTTTGTGAGATGTTGAAAACTTGGAGCATAGTTTGACGACCTGCTGTGTTCCTCTGCCTTTATGATGCTGAGGCTTTTTTTATGGAGGACAGTTTAATTTTTCACATAATGAAACTAATCCATTTACCCACCAGGTGGGTTCTGAAGTGATAAGGTGGGATTTTATTTATGATGAGTAGAAATTACTAATTACAAAATAATTCCTCCATTTTCATATTTTCACTCCAACCAAGACTTATTTTTTTCTCTCCACTTTGATCCAGTTCTTCAAATCCCAGTTTGTGAGAGAAGTTGAAGGAAATTAGGAATAAACTGTCTGATAATGGGTAATTATTTTCCCTGGAGCAGCAGGATACAAAATCTAGTTTTTTTAAAGTGTCACTAAAAAAAATATAAAAGGAAATTTGTAGAGAAGTTAGAAATATCTAAAATTAGAACATGACAGCAGTTTTTGAATAACAGCTTTTATAGAGAAACAAACAGCAGCTCAGGTGTGTTGGATCATTTCCAACATGACAGTGATGACGATCATCATCCCTTCAATTTGTAATCTAATCCCATTATGTCAACAAACTGAAAAGGTATCAGAGATACCAGTTCAAATGAAACTGAAACTAAAACCAACGTGTATCTGAGTAGAACTCAAAGGTTCAAACACCAGCTCCAAACATTATTCTGCACCCTTGCATACCTCTTGACAGGCGGACATTCAGCTCGCTGCGGGCCACCTGCGTCTGCAGGCTGCTGCCGAGGCGTGAGAAGGTGGGGCTGCTGCCACCGGCCCGGCCTGAAGCCGACCGTGAGCTGGTACCCGACTCCTCGTCAGCCGTCTCTGAGGAACCCCGCTGGAGCTCTTGGCTCCGCGGGCGAGCCAGGCTAGCAGCGAAGGAAGGAGACCATTGGGAGGAAGAGGAGTACGAGGAGTGGGCCTTCTGCGATGAGATGGGGAGGACATGATCAGAATCCGCTGACGAAGCCAGGGAGCTCCTCTTCTGGAACAAGGAAAAACAAATCAGCACTTTAAAGAAAATCACTCCTTAAATGCAAATTTTCTACATAGAAATTATACAATAAACAGCCGCTGTGTAGATAGGAGGCAACAAGTGAGAAAAGCAGAGTAAAGGGCTGGTTAAACTCCTGCAGCAGTGTGTCACAGTGAGTGTGTGGCAGATATTTTTCTATTGGTCTGCACTATGTAATTCCACGCCACAACGCAAGAGGGACAATCAGAAACTACCTGTGGGTCTAGATACGGCTGAGAAGGCGAGGAAGTGGCGGCAAGTTTATGCAACAATGGAGGGACATGAGGGTGAAAAAAGAGCGGGGATCCAGGAGGATAAAGGGTCCCGGCGTTCTCGTACACCTCGCTCTTCTAGCTGGTCCATCTTCACGAGTCGTTTTCCACAATGGCGGTCATAGAAACAAAACAAGCCGGTAAGGTACCAAACAGGAAACACGCATAGTGTAGAGTTGACCAATCAGAAGCCTCCTCTGTCTGCAGAAGGGGCGGAGGCACATCTGCATTCACTGAGACACATATGCAGACCACCTGGTTTCTGAGTATAAATCAGCCTTAAGGATCAGATCAGGCTATTGAGAAACAAACCGAACTAAATGACACCGTTGCCAACTTGGAAAACTTTTTTTCCCCCAATAAAAGTTTAGCAACATGTCAGGCATCTTTTTCATGTGTGAGACTTTGACGACAATGCAAAGGCGCCGATCGGTTGAGTTTACCTAGGGAAAATGTGATCTGGAAAACAAAATTTAAAAACAACACAAGACATAAAACTCAATCAGAAAAATAGAAGTGAAAAATTTATTTTTTGCGAAAAAATAAGAACTGAGAAAACTGCTGTTACTTTCCCAAATTTAAAACATGCTTTTGCAGCAATAATGGGGAAAAAATGTTCCACAGAGACACTGGGAATAAGTATAAAAAACATAAAGAAATAAGCTCCAAATAGCTTTAAAAAGCTTAAAAATACCTGAACTCCGTATTTTTGTCCTGTGGGTGAGCACCCTGGAGGGGAAGGGGAGGGGTGTGGGTTTGTGTGTATGTATATTATATACATATGGTAGTGTGTATGTGCAGTTTTCTCTTTTAGGGTATTCAAAGTTTCAGGTGGTCTGGTTTATTGTGCTGCATTTATGTTGAAATATTGTATATGTGGCATCAGTATTTCTGTTATTGATTTCATTGCTCTCGGCTCAGGGAATGTTCTTTTGTTGTGAAAATTTTTGAAAATAAAAAAATAAAAAAAATAAAAAAATACCTGAACTCCAAGTATCCTAAAAGAAAATAACCCCTTTCTGCCATCGGTGCTAATTATCATTGACCACTCTAACAGGGGAATTAAAATCAGGTTTCTCCTCTTTAATGATGATGCATGATGTTTATGCTGTATTTCAATGGTCACAGACTCATTTCTACACTTTTGAATGTTCCAGTGTTTGGGGCGCTACCAGGAAGCGGTGAAAACCATGTTTCACCATAAATTTCTCCCCGTCCAGGTGACCCAGGAGGCAAAACAAGACCGAAAATCAACTCACAGCGTACTTTGCATCAGTGTTCTGTTTCACACCGATTTAGCTTTAATGAAGCAGAGTCAGGATTATTATTGCAAAAAAAGTGATTTTAGATGGAAGCTTTCGAATTATATGTTATTTTTTTTGTTAGTTATATTAGGCTTGCTGATTGCTAAAACCTCCTGCAGACCTTTTCTCATTATCTTATAGCAGAGGTCATGGATTAGCGGACCGTGGTCCGTATCCGAACCCACCTGCTGGCTAATCCGGAACCAACCTGATTTAAAACATTTATAAATTACCGCATGTTGACAGATGGCAGTGTCTAATTTTTCTTGCAAATGCTTCTCCTGTTAATATGGTAAAGAAACTGAAGGATTTTTTTTCTCCATTTCAAAAAACGCTTTAGATTTTAAATGGAAAGATTTTTTTTATTTGTATTTTAAAATTTAATGTATAACATGGATGCATAACAACCTGCTTTTTATTTCAGTGTTAAATTCTGTTTAAAGTAACAGATTATGATTAAAAATGTCTCCGGACCTATACTGGTTGATGAATTTCTTTATTCGGACCCCGCTGATTTTTAAATTGTTACCCCTATCTTATAATATATATAATATTATATTTATGCTTGATTTTTATCTCCTGAAGCAGAAACTGCTCTGAGGCTACTATGACAGAACTCAGGATTGCTAATGAATAGGGTCACTCTGTTTCCACAGTAGGAATCTGGACTGTGCGATTTATATCCTACTGTTTGCAGGGATCCATAAATATAGGGAGAAATCCTGCAGCATGTAAGAAGAAAATAAGCCCTCTGCGGCTGTGGATTCACCACGTGTCACCGCACATGAAGGTAAAAGGTTGTTTTTTTTCTTTTACATAGAGCAGTGGGATTGTTGGGTATTAAGTTGTCTTCTAATGGATTTATTTATGGAGCAAAATCTAGACCAACATCTAAGAAGGGAAACCTGGGGTCCAAAGCCGGACCACTGCTTTTATTACAATCATAATTATAATACTATCTGTAGTTCTGCACTCCACCAGTAGGTGGTGACATGTTCACATGAGGTTTCATGAACTGTGTAGATCGTTGAAGCAATTTGGCCAAAAGGTTCAAATGCCTCATGAGGCCTAATTTCACCATCACTAGTGAGCTGTAAGGTCTTATATAGACAGCTGTGTACCTTTCCTAATCAAGTCCAATCAGTTTGATCAAACACAGCTGGACGTCACCCATAACCAATCAGCTCCAGATGATTGGCTAGGGGTGACTATGCTCCTGCCCTCTAGCTCCACCCCTTTCTGTAAAGCCAAGCCAAGGAAAATATACACATACAGGTGCTGGTCATAAAATTAGAATATCATGAAAAAGTAGATTGATTTCAGTAATTCCATTTAAAAAGTGAAACTTGTATATTATATTCATACATTACATACAAACTCATATATTTCAGATGTTTATTTTGTTTAATTTTGATGATTACAAATGACAACAAATGAAAATCTCAAATTCATCATATCAGAAAATTAGAATATTACTGAAGACCAATAAAAACAAAGGATTTATAGAAATGTTGGCCAACTGAAAAGTATGAACATGAAAAGTATGAGCATGTACAGCACTCAGTATTTAGTTGGGCCTCCTTTGGCCTGTATTACTGCAGCAATGCGGCGTGGCATGGAGTCGATCAGTCTGTGGCACTGCTCAGGTGTTATGATAGCCCAGGTTGCTCTAATAGTGGCTTTTAGCTCTTCTGAATTGTTGGGTCTGGTGTATTGCATCTTCTTCTTCACAATACCCCATAGATTTTCTATGGGGTTAAGGTCAGGAGAGTTTGCTGGCCAATTAAGAACAGGGATACCATGGTCCTTCAACCAGGTACTGGTAGCTTTGGCACTGTGTGCAGGTGCCAAGTCCTGTTGGAAAATGAAATCTGCATCTCCAAAAAGTTGGTCAGCTGCAGGAAGCATGAAGTGCTCTAAAACTTCCTGGTATGTGGCTGCGTTGACCCTGGACCTCAGAAAAAACAATGGACCAACACCAGCAGATGACATGGCACCCCAAACCATCACTGACTGTGGAAACTTTACACTGGACTTCAAGCAACGTGGATGAAGTGCCTCTCTTCTTTTCCTCCAGACTCTGGGACTTTGATTTCCAAAGGAAATGCAAAATTTACTTTCATCAGAGAACATGACTTTGGACCACTCACCAGCAGTCCGGTCCTGTTTCTCTTTAGCCCAGGCAAGACGCTTCTGACGCTGTCTGTGGTTCAAGAGTGGCTTGACACAAGGAATGCGACAGCAGAAACCCATGTCTTTCATACGTCTGTGTGTGGTGGTTCTTGAAGCACTCACTCCAGCTGCAGTCCACTCTTTGTGAATCTCCCCCACATTTTTGAATGGGTTTTGTTTCACAATCCTCTCCAGGGTGCGGTTATCTCTCTTGCTTGTACACTTTTTTCGACCACATCTTTTCCTTCCCTTCGCCTCTCTATTAATGTGCTTGGACACTGAGCTCTGTGAACAGCCAGCCTCTTTAGCGATGACCTTTTGTGTCTTGCCCTCCTTGTGCAAGGTGTCGATGGTCGTCTTTTGGACAACTGTCAAGTCAGCAGTCTTCCCCATGATTGTGTAGCCTATAGAACTAGACTGAAAGACCATTTAAAGGCTTTTGCAGGTGGTTTGAGTTAATTAGCTGATTAGAGTGTGGCACCAGGGGCCATCAATTTTGAACCTTTTCACAATACTCTAATTTTCTGATATGATGAATTTGAGATTTTCATTTGTTGTCATTTGTAATCATCAAAATTAAACAAAATAAACATCTGAAATATATGAGTTTGTATGTAATGTATGAATATAATATACAAGTTTCACTTTTTAAATGGAATTACTGAAATCAATCTACTTTTTCATGATATTCTAATTTTATGACCAGCACCTGTATATCCCAGAATGCTTTGCACAGAGAGCTCTCCTAACAAAGCACTATGGGATTTGCTGTCTCAGTGGCCCACTGTCGCCATAGGCTTTACCTACCTGACAGTGGCGACTAATGGCAAAGATGGCGCAGGCTCAGCACAATGGAGGAGGAGTTATTTGACCAACCGGGCAAAAATCATCTGTCTGTCAGTTAGCTGAGTTCGCTATAAAGTCCCCGCAGTATGCGGACACAATAAAGGCTAAATTATACTTTGAAATTAGCTCGTCTGCGTAGGTGTCGCAGTGAACGCACAGACGTCCCCGCCCCCAGTGCCGCAGACAGGTCTCTTTTGTTTGTATGACCGCCATTGTAGAAAAATGACGTGTGAAGTGGGACCAGCTAGAAGAGCGAGGTGCACGAGAACGCTGGGACCCTTTTTCCATCTGGATCTCCGCTCTTTTTCGCCCTCATGTCCCTACGTTGTCGGACAAACTTGCCCCCATTTCCTCGCCGCCTCGGCCATATCTAGAC